AAAAAAGCCAGAAGTGGTGCTGTGGCTCAAGTGGTAGAGCGCTAGCCTTGAGCTGAGGAGCTGAGGGACAGCGCCCAGGCCCAGAGTTCAGGCCCACGACCAACCAAAAAAATAAAAAAGAAAAGAAATGTACTCATTACCTTGTCCATGTAATTGTAACCCCTCTGTACAGTATTTTCAAAATTAAAAAAAAATGACACCTCCAAAGATAATAAAAAAAAAATCTGCCCTCAGCAATTCTTGGAAGATGTTAGTAGGGTTAGGTAGGAGACTCTTCCTTTGCAATGAGAATCTGAGAGAGGTAAACAGGACTTTATGAGACTGGTTGACTAGGTTTTTCCCCCTTTCCTCCATTTGCTACTTGGCTCCTGAAAGGATTATTTTGAGTCATGCAAAAGGAATTGTAAATTGTATAATAGGAGAGAGGATTGAATATACCAGTTAGCATCCAGGCTGGGTGAGACCTGACAGACTGAGAACAAAAGGCCCAGGACCTCCCTCCCCATACACTCCTCCCCTTCTTTGCCCCCTTCCCCCCGCCCTGCCCCCAAGAACTCTCAAGCTAGACTGACTGCACCTTCTTCCTGGCAGTACACCAGGGTGTGGCCCTAAATTTAGGATAAGGGTTGTTTCTTCAAACACTGGGGCCTGTGTGCCACCCTTGGATACTGGGAGAACAGAGGCCTGAAAAACCTGTTTCTCCTCTTACCCCAGCCTTCTACGGAAACTCCCTGAAGGATTCCTTGGTAAGGGGAGAGAGGGCTGGAAGGGACCCTAACACTTAGGTCTGACAGTAAATACACAACTTGTCATACACAGACATTTATTACTCAAAATGGAAAGAGGTGATAGAGGGTTTGGAGAATCAGCCCCATGCAGAGAGATCATCGGGTTCTTTCTGGGGACAGGATGGAAGCCCCATACCACAGGCCCAGATTCCCAGTCCTTCCTTGAAGAGGGCACAGTAGAGTGCTGGAGACAAAGTGGGAGCCCATTATGGCCAGGGGAGAATGTGAAGTGGTTTAGAAGGAAATGGGTAAGGACTCAGGAAAAATAGGAATGGAGGTTTCCACGGAGGTGGGAGGGATGGCCAGGGAGACCGCTTTGGGCTCTGCGTCATTGAAGAAATGGGAAGGGACTTGGGAAATGCTTCAGGGGTGGGGAAGCCAGGCTCTGGGGACACTGGGAAAAAGGCTCAGACGAAGGCAAGTAGGAGGAGGCCCAGTCATGGAATAAGCCTCAGTGCAGCAACCAGAAGCCCAGGCCTGCGAAGGAAGTGAGGAAGACCAGGGCCAGGCCAGGAGTGGCGCGAGGGGCCAGGCTGTTGCAACTGTCCTTGGTGCAGCATGTGGTGTTATAGTTCAGGCCCAGCTTGTGGATGGTTTCGTTGAAGGCTTCCATACAAGGCTCTTCTCGTGTGCCACAGCGCAATTTGCTGTAAAGCCACATCTTCCCTGGGGATAGAAGGGATAGGTAGGTAAGCAAGGATAGGTAGTTGGCAAATCTATGTCCCTTCCACATTCTGGACACCCACCCACTTTATTCTTGTCCTTTAAAAAATATGAGTCTAATCCTTTACTTTTTTTTTTTTTTAATACTGATGTTGAGCTTGATTCCAGGGCCTGGGCACTGTTCCTTAGCTTTTTCCACTCAAGACTAGCACTCTACTACTTGAGCCGAAGCTCCACTTTTGGCTTTTTGTTATTCATTGAGGATAAATGAGTCTCAAGGACTTTCCTATCTCAGCTGGCTTCGTAATTCTCTGATCTCAGCCTCCTGAGTAACTGAGATTACAGGTGTGAACCATTGGTTCCTGGCAACCTATCTTCCTCTTGTACTTCCTTATCCTGAACCCCAATCTTGCTTCTAGCAATTACCAGCAACATGGCTATGGGTCTGTTACTGGTTTTGTTTTTCTTTAGTCTATCTTCTCAGTATAATACTGGCATTTATATTATAGGGTAATCGTGACCATTTACTGAAACAGTACATGTAAAGACATAGGTCAGTGACTGGCACACAATCATCTTTGGCCATATCACTACTGTAATTCTCTGTTGTGTCTCCGTCTTTTTTGTTGTTGTTGGTTGTGGCGCTTGAACTCTGGGCCTGGGCGCTGTCCCTCAGCTCTTCAGCTCAAGGCTAGCGCTCTACCACTTGAGCCACAGCACCACTGCCAGCTTTTTCTGCTTCTGTGGTGCTAAGGAATTGAACCCAGGGCCTCATGCATGCAAGGCAAGCACTCTACCACTGAGCCACCTTCCCAACCCATTGTCTCAATCTTAACCTCAGTTTCAGACATCTAGTCTCCCACCTGCTCCCTTCAAATAAGGGTATGTTACCTAGGTACACATTTGTTGTTACACATTGTTGTCCTTGTTCCAAGAGACAGGATTTCCGGTCAATACAGCCTAGCACAGGGACCTTGTTGCAGTGGTGACAGCGAATATCAGCTGGGGAGACACAAGTCAAGCTAAGGTTGATGGGGAATCTGAGCCACCTGGGGAGATGCTGAGCTGGGAGCGGGAGTGGAGCAGAGCTCATCAAGGAGGTACTCTGACTTGTTTGGTAGGACCTAGGGACAACGTAGGTGAGCGAGTCGGTGAAAGTGCAAAGTGGGCAGCAGGGGAGGGTGGAGTTGTGAAAAGCTCACACTGCAAACATCTTCTCTGCGCCATCTCATTTGGGATGAGTCAACAGGAGCACAGATACCAACAAAAACAGGAGGCTGGAGATAAGCTGGAGTGTGAGGAAATCGGGGTGAAAGAATGGGGAAGAGGTGTGTATGGTGGGGGGTGGAGTTTTGCAACAGAAGAAAAATCAAAAGCATGAGAGGAGGTTTACGGGAGTTACAAGGCTTTCAGAAACGGTTTAGAATGGAGGCTTCAAGAAAGCCCCTGGTGGCCAGGCTCGGCAATTGACTCCTCACCCCGTAGGGCTGCCAGGAGTGCGGGAAGAGACCAGTCCTGAATGTGCCCTGTTACCGCTCCCCAGGATGAAGGCATACCTGGGAGACATATCATCAGATTCTTAGTGCTCGCACCCAAGTAGAAAGGAGAAATAGCGAAGGTGATACCCTCAGGGCTCCTGCTTCTATGAATTCAAGATTTAAGCAGACGAAGTTGGGTAAAAAGGTCAGTCCAAGGGTGAAGAGGCCTGGTGGGTGCCACCCCAGAAAACCCACCTCCCTCTAGAATCTCCTCTCTAGAAGCCTCAGGAAAACTCACTGGTTCCCTGGGAAGCTCTTAAGGTTACTAGAACCATCCAGAAGGCTTTGTATCCATAGTAAGAGTGAGGGTATGCCACCCACAGAGGAGCAGGGATGCACTAGAAGGACCACTGGTGAATGTGTAAGTCCACGACGAAGTACGTGGAGTCCAAGGGGAGCTTGGACTTGAATGTTTATGTCTCAGAGGATACCCTGAAGAGTGTAAGAGATTGGAGGAGAGGTCAGGTAAGTGGAGCCTGGAGAAAGAGCTACCTATGGAAATGGGGCTTGCTGGGGAATTAGCTGCCATTTTCCAGAAAAGGAGGCCCTTCAAGTAGAAAATAAGAGCTCTAATGAGTAAGGAAAGCAGGTCATTCTTGGGAGTGAGAAGCAATGTGACATGGAGACCCTAGGTTTTTAAGAAATGGAGGAAGAAGCCTGTTGCAGAGTGTGCTGGTCCTGGAGGCACCAGAGAACTGGGAAAGGTGGGGCTGAAAGATGGTTCGGGATCTTAAGCAGTGGGTAGGTAGCATGGCAGAATGGGTAAGGCAGAGGATCAAGGTCTGTCAGACAACCAGGTCCTTGGAGCTCCCAGGTACTCACCTGAGACCCAGCAGAACAGAGCAGACAAGGTGAGCAGCAGAAAGCCTTTCATGATGAAGGTCCTGAGAATGGTAGCACCCCCGGCAGCTAGCAGAGTCGATTTTCAGGGATCCAGCTCTGGGAGTTGAGTGGCCTTTTTGGAATTTATAATCCCAAAGGCCCCTCCCTTCCCTGCCTCTGCTGACACCTCCCTCCACATTTACACACAGCTGACCAGAGAGAAAAAAGACAAGAGGTAGGGAGGGGCTGATCAGGCCCGGGTGGGAAGTAGGGTTGGGAGGGATGGAGGAGGGCCACTTCCATTTTGGTTCTTGGTTTCAGGACCACCCAGCTGAGAGCCCCAACTACCCAGTCCTCCAAAGGAGCATCAACAAAGGCCTCTGTGATTTAAATGACCATAGGAGTAGCGTCTGTTGATTCCTAGGAAATGGGCAATGGGATGAGGCTCGGGTTAACTGCCAACTTTGGGTCTCTGGGGGGGCCCTGATAAGATCATTCAGGCAGAAATTGAGGATGGAAGAAGCCAAATTAATCTCGATTCAGTCCAAACTCGGCCTTCCCAATCCTTGATCAGCCACTGGATGAAGGTTTTGTGACTTCATGGAGGGTTTCTGTGATATCATAGAAGAAGGGGGCAACGACTATGCTGTACCTCTAGGAGGATCACACCTGCTGCCTCAGGCCCACAGAAGATTCTTTCTTGGGACCTCATCCTACTCAACTTGGGTGTGGCTCCCTGGGTGGGGAGGGACAAGTGTGGGCATGAAGATGAGGTAGAAGCTAAAATAAGAATGGGAGTAGTAATCATTGTAGCACTTAAATAACATTCCTATAAGCCAGCTATTGTTCCAGGCATTTTACATTATTTTATTCTCACAATGCCCTATGAAATAGATGTTTTTATCTCTATATTACTGAGGTTAAACAATTTGTCCCTCTCCCACAGCAAGTTCAGGAATTGAATTCAAGCAGCTGATCTCCAGAATTCGTGGTGCCCTCAGTCACGGCCATAGTGCAGGAGTTAAGGCCAAAGTGCTTGTGCAAGTGGCCCAGGGACGCTGTTTGAAGGCTGTGGGTTTTGCTTGTGAGGATTTCCAGAGGGATGGGACTGGTGGCCATGCCCCTGCTCTTATCTGAGCCCCCAGTCCCGAGAACTCCCACCCCCGACACCCCCAGTTTCCCTCCGGTTTCCCCAGCTGATTCACGCTCCCTCTCCCCACTACCTCTTGTCATGGCCTTGGCTCTGCAGCTGCTGCCTCTGCTGTTATGGAAGGCCAACGGGGACCCATTGGGTAAGCTATCCTTGAGAAAGTTGGAATGGGAGGAGAAAGACCAAGACAGGGTAGCATCCCCCCCCCCCCGTGTGTGTGTGTGTGTGTGTGTGTGTGTGTGTGTGTGTGTGTGTGTGTGTGAAATGATTCGGGCAGAGTAAGGAAATGTCGTCTAACTAACCATGTCTGTCTCCCCCACCCTCCCCACCAGCTTCTCTGCAAGGCCACCCAGGGGACCGGGTGAATCTCTCCTGCGTGGGGGTCTTGCACCCCACCCGCTGGGCTTGGGCGCCTAGCTTCCCGGCCTGCAAAGGCCTGTCCAAAGGTCGCCGCCCTATCTTGTGGAACTCCTCCAGTGGGACCCCAACAGTGTCCCCTCTGCAGCATTTTGCTGGCCGCCTCCGCCCCCTAGGCACTAGTATTCGGCGGCTGGAACTGCTCTTGAGCGCTGGGGACTCGGGCACTTTTTACTGCAAGGGTCGCCAAGAGAATGAGAGCCGGACCGTGCTTCAAGTCCTGGGGGACAGGGCCTATTGCAAGGCCTTGGGGCCTACCCACGGTAGGTGTACATACCACCAGGGGATTTAATTTGCTTGTACTTAACCTGATCGTGCCCCTGACCCCGATTCCCGCCCCAGGGTCTGCGTATCCCCAGGTTCTGATCCCGCTGATGGGCGCAGGGCTGGTGCTGGGACTGGGAGCGCTGGGCGTGGTCTGGTGGCGGCGCAGGTGAGCACGTGGGGCGGGGCCGGGTTGAGTCGGGGCGAAACCCGAGGCGGGAGGGGCAGGCCCCAAACCTTCGCAAAGGAAAGAACTAGCTAGACCTGGAGGCCGGAGCATGTGGACTTGGAACATGTGGAACGCTGGCTGGAGAACTAAAAACTAGAGGCGCAGAGAGGATCAGAGCGAGGGCGTGGGCAGGACTTTCTGTCTGGGAGGAGCCTAAGTTGTTTTGCTGGTCAGAGCCGGCAAGTGGCAGAATTGTCGTTGGCGCCGCCTGCGGCCGAGGAGAACCAGCGCAACAAGATGGGTGACTCTCAAAAGACTCATACTCCCTTACAGGCGTTGTCCCCCGCATCCGCCTGGACCACTCTCCACATCTGGTGAGACTAACTTCTCCCCCATCTCCCCTCTCCTACCCAAACATTGCCCGCCCTTTCATTCTCCAGTCAGAGTCCTGGCTGGAAGCAGATGTGTTGGTCACCTTCTCTCCGTCCCTCAGCTCTATCCCTCCCACATAGCTCTGTACGTGAATGTTGAGCCCCAGAGGCCCAGACTGGAGGGAGAACCCAAGATTCCAGGAAACCTGGAGCAGGAACCGGTAAGGGACTGGAGATTTTAAGGGGGTTGGCTAGAATCCTTGAGGAAAGTGGATCAAGAAAAAAAAGCACCGAGGGGACTTTTGAGGCAGGACTCAAAGTTCTAAGCCAGCCGGTGTAACACGGTTTTGGAAACACTGGGCTTCAATGGGCTGGGCTGCTGAGATGGTTCTGCCTTCCCCCCCTGCTCTGCCCCCTTCAGAGCCTGCACTATGCCAATCTGGACCAAATGGCCCTCAGAAGGCCCCGACGGCTGTCCGAAGTGGTCTCTGCTGATGCTTCCACTGTCTATGCAGTTGTCGTTTGAAGGGAAGGCCTGGTTCTAAGTTTTCTAAGCTGGAGTCTCCCAGCTCTCCACAACCCCCAGCCCCTTCTTGGATTGTCACCTAGAAGAAGGCACTGTGGAACAGAAACAATCTGGGAGTCTGGGACCTACGCATCCTGGGCTATGGTTACCATCGCTCTTGTTCTTCAGTTCTGAATCTTTTCAGTCTCTCCCATCATGGATGTCCTCTCTAAGCATGATGGGGCTCTGTCCATATCCCCATTTTTAAGGCATCAATAACTCCAGATTGTTGCTCTTTCTTTTCCCTTCCCTTTTTGAATGCCTCGTTGGCTGAAATTGCTCATTTACTATTCATAAGATTGCCAGTGGTGTCCTAATTGACATTATTATGGTTCTTTTTTTTTGGGGGGGGAGGTCCAGTCGTGTGGCCTGAACTTTGGGCCTGGGCGCTGTCCCTCAGCTCTTCAGCTCAAGGCTAGCACTCTACCACTTGAGCCACAGCACCACTTCCGGCTTTTTTCTTT